CTATCCCTGGAAGTCCAATCCCATAACAAGTGGTGGATTATGACTACTTGGTGGGGTAGAATGAGTCATTAGAAGTTCTGAGTATCATACTCTACCATGTCCGTTCATGAAGCGGCACTGCCCAGCCAGCTGCCCCATGCTGCATCGCTAGTGCTTCATATTGATAGGTCGAAGGGTTCACGCATTGACCGGATTTCTGGACCGACCCAGTCGCTTGAGTCGACAACTGTTGTCTTCGGTGGGGCAAATCGTTTGGCTAGCAACAAGTGGGTGTTTCTAGTTCTTGCCGGATTCTGGTGTGCTCAAACATGTTAATTGCCTTGGCTTTGTCCATAAAAATTCCTTCAATCAACTATCCTTTCGTACCACGGCTCCTATATATATATATATATGCGTTCAGGTTTAAGGAAAGACATAAGCAACAATCAACACATTGCGCTTTTACACAGGGACAAATTGGACAGATGAACATCTTTGCAGTATGGACAGGGCCTGAACTGCCCTTCATCCTTATCTTCCTTCTCCTTCCTCTTCTTCGTTCGCAGGTTCCTCCCCTCCGCCTGTTTACTACTCTTCTTTCTTCCCTCCCTTCTTTCGTCATGTTTTACATTGTATTTCACATCGTTTCACAGTGTGTCTTGGCGTTTTGGGCCAGTCCGATTGTTGTCCTGGACGATGAGTTAACTCCAAGACTTCGAGTTTGGCATGCTGAGCTGAAGAAAATTTTTCATCGGACGAAGACGGAAGCCAGCTGGTGAATCCTAAAGCGACTGACAAGGAAAGGAGTCAGGGTTCTAACCCGCGGAAGGCGAAGCACGAACTCTGGAAAGGACAGAAATCGGGACATAGCGCCACTACAATGGAAAAGTTGAGAAAGAAAAAGCAATGGAATTTAGTTTTTCACATTATCCGGACCGTGCGACTTCGTGAAAACCCTGTGGTGCACAAACACATATAGTCCAGTGACTGCTTTCTTGTCTGGTCTAACATGGTGCTTTGCACTTCCACCAAGGTTTCAACTAAACCCTGAGAAACCTCCTGATCCCCGCCACACGACACGGAAAAACCATCTTGTCCCCCTTCCAAAACCCCCCTGAGACAGACATGTGAAAGATGCGAAAAAATGCTAAGAGGATGATGATGTTGTGAAGTTGGGCAAACCCTCCGTTGACCCAACATGTCGTCATCAAAGCCAAACGCGCCTTTGTCCTTGTCGACCCGTCTGCTGCAGGCAGGAGAGCATTTGATGGTGCTCGTGAGCATTTATGGCAGGAGTGACTGAGTGACTCTAACAAATTTCAAGGCAGGTCATCACGATACAAAGGAGTAGAAGTGGGTTGCCTCCAGGTGTGCCTTCTGGCATGCTGCACTCCAAAGGGGCATAGATGGGGAAGTTGACAGGCTGCTCGCATGTTGCCTTGCTTGGTTTGGAATCCAAGGACGCACCTAGTGATCCCCACACAGGGCGTGTCAAGACAAGCACAGCCAATAGTCTGTGGACTTGTCCTTTCGTCTAAAGCACTATACACAAAGCTGATTTCTGTAGGATACCTGACCTCGAAGCACGTTCTTTATTGCGCGAACTTCAAAATGGCACTCCTCACTACTGCAGACCTTGGCACCCAGCAGTGCTCTGTCGCTTTTTTCGGGATCCATCCGACGAAAGGATTGGTTGAGTTGATGAAAGGACAGTTTGCACACGCAGTGGCTGGAGTTTGGTCGACATGGGAACTGTTTGCACCCTATACTGCTTGGCATCTTATGCGGGCAACACGCACAAGAACATTTCGGCATGAAATTTCAACATCAGTTCGCTAGGTTTCTGGAGAGCGGCACACAATGCTTTTGCATGCTATTCCCAATATCACTGGTGATCTATTGGCCGGTGAGCCGAAAGTTGCTGACACACTCTTGTGGAAGGAAACGGCACTTGTGAGGCCAAAGTGGCAGTGCATATACATTGCAAGGTGCGCCATTCATACGCCTGATGATCCTCATGGTTCTGCATGGCTTCTCACCGTTTTCATGCCACGTTAATTTCCATGTGTTGCCGTGGAAGCAGTGTTTTACACCGCAGACTTGATTCATCTAGATTTGCTGGCTTCAAACATAAAACTCTGAGCTTAGCCCTTCTGCAGCACTGCCTGATCGCAGCACACATTGCCGTGCTTGCAAAAGGAACGAACGGTCTTTGCATAACGCGCAAAACACCAGGTCCCCAAAATGCAAAAACATGTAAAAACGTCCAGCAACAGCTGAAGGGGACGAGGGAAGGCTTTACTTATTTGACTTCCGAAGTTCTAAAAGTATATGTAGGCTGGATTGATGGGCTACGTGTATTCAACATTTCGCAAAGTCACAGTACTCAGCAAAGCATCTTCAGCGCTTGCATTTACAATCATGAGTGGCATATGGTTCTGCTTTCGCAGTGAATCAGCATGTCGAGTTCAACATGAAGCTCTCTGAAGCACGAATTGCCTTGCTGCGCCCCACGATGTGACACTCGTAGGCTTGTGTTCCTTCATTGCAAAGACCAGCAAGCAACACGTTTGTTTGTGCTACAGTATCTGTTTGCATGCTGCTTGCAATGCAGAACGAGGACGAGTACAAATTAAGATGGAAAAAGGGTTCCATTGGCCCGAGAGATAGACTGGTGTCCACATGGCATTCAGCCGAACTGTATCCTGTGTTCTGATTAGTTTTTACAACCTGATCTACTTGACCTTCAGATTAGTGTGCGGCATCACATGAATGTTTTCTTTCATTGAAAAATGACAAACTATATACTCTCTCCAGAACTTACCAGGAAACAGTTTTTGTTCTAACTTCCTCGTTAAGTAATTCGTGGAGGGTATGCAAGTCCTTTTTTCTGGTTGAAAAAACTTCTTCCTCGTTTGGAAACACATTTGCGTTGTCGGCAACTTCCTCGTAATCAGCGTCCTCCGTGAGATTTACTTCCTCGCAAGGTCTGGGGAGTGCAAATCTTCCTCACTACACCGCGCAAAGAAGGACACTGATTTGGTCCCTTTATTGAACAATCGCAAGACCACTGATGTTCACAGTTGTTCCTCAAATAATCGCATCTTGGGGGATCTTGCTTCTGAGCCACACTCTTGTGGACAGCCACAAGTCACTTGGTACCTCCGTTTCTAATTGATGCGCTTGCTGTGACTGACTCAACTCTGCTTGGATTCACAGGTATCCCTTGTTTGGTGAAGTTAGGCCGTCGCACAAATCCGGCTTTGCAATCAATGCCCCGTCTGTTTGAGGACCTTGGGCGCCTCCCCTCTATTCTACTGACCCCTTGGGCAAGCAAGGTCACTTATTTTTGAAAGATTTTGTCGAGTCAAGTTGTGTCTTTGCCATGTGCTTTTAATCTTGTATTCCTGATTTTGGCAGTCAAGACTAATTGAACGCTAAGGCAAAGAAGGGAAGCCACCTCGTCGTTTGGTTGCGTCAAAGCAAGTCTTGCAGCCAGCTTACAAGAGTCGAAGTCCTAAAGACATGGGGCAGCACTGCTCCACACCAATCAGCCAGAATGTTCTGAAACTTTTTGAATTTGGTGGAAACACACTCAATTGAGCCAATGCATCCATTCAGACCGATGTTCTTTGTGGCTTTGGGCGCAACGAAGTGCTGAGGCGTCCCTCATTGGAGGGGAGGAGCCTCCGGTCGCAAAGCAAATGCAGGAGGCTTTGCTTCCTGACACTTGTAGACAGAAGCTGTCCACTGAAGCAAGTCGTTAGATAGCAAAACTTTCAATCGTATTCGCTACAAATGTTTGAAAGAGCTCACAGTCAAGCAAGTCCTTGGTAAGCTGCCAAATAGAGGAGTGGATTTACCGAATTAAAACAAGTTGGGTGGTTTGCAAAGCTTGCAAATTTGAAGCAACAATGATATCTTATCTGAAGCTCACAAGTGGGTCTAGGAGACTTTAGAGTCTGCAATGGTGAATCTTGAAGCAAAGTTGGGAATCCGACTTTCACTGAGTGTTCGTGTCCTGTGAGTTGAGCCTTGCTAGCGACGCTCAACTTGGAAGCTGTAGCTCTATCTTTTGACCCGTTCAAGCGTGAAACTTGACATCAAATCTTGCAGTCCTCTTATGACACTTCTATTGTTTCTGAAATGTCAAGTTTCGAACAAACCTTTAAATGAATTGTTTCCTTTTATGAATCTGAAATATATTGTATAAACGCCTCGACCAAACAACTTTGAACTTGTGACTTCAGCTGCTTGCGGCTCTAGGCCATTTCAGGAAACACTCGAGTCTTTGTTTGTGATGGTCTTTGCTTTTTGCGGTTGTTGGCCTGCCAAATTCCACAAAGCAAATGCAGGACATGTTTCCTGATCACTCTACTTGTATGCGTGGAATCTGTACACTGAAGGTGCCTGGTACAAAGGAGAACCTTGGTAACAGCTTATGTACGACTCTTTGCGAACCAAACAGCAATATCTCAAGTCTGCACAAATTGGATTGTTCGTGTGCCGTCTGGACTCTCACAAGCATCACTTTCGGTTAATGTGCTGTTTGAAAATTGCACCGGTCACAAAAGCCAACTTGTTCCAAAGCACAACCTTACCTCCAAACTCAACGTGTACTGCATCGTGGATACTTCGGCCAGTGCTTTTGAGAACATGGAAGAATCAGCAACAGCTCTCAGACTAGTGGGACGAGGACCAGCAGCAGCAGCAGCAGCAGCAAAAGGACGAACGACTCCTTAAGCAACCTAAAGCACTGGCATTGCACTTCTTGCATTGCTCTTGCAGGTAGATCCTTCATGCAAGTACAGATTCAACGTTGCACAAGCGCGGCGCCGCTCCACTTTACCAACCGAACTTGTTCCAAGAAGCCTGGGCTCAGCAAGCCAAGTGTAATTGATCGTGCCTTCAACCGCTTCAAGCCAAAACATTGCCCAGCCATTAAGAATATCCGATGATCTCCGCAGTTTCTGGCACCTTGTGCAACTTGAGAGCTAGCGGTGCTCATGCCAGCCTCTCTTGTGCTGGACTTATAAGCGCACGGGTGCGTGTGTGATGAAACAAGCCTTGTGACACATTGTTTTACATAACACAATTGTTTCATTGTTTTGCATAACCAGAACCATGTTCATACATGGCATTTGCTTCAATGACCGAGAAATCAATACCCATTGCACAGTCTTGAACACAACTATTTCCCATGCGTATATGATGTGTCTTTCCAATGTTCCATCTGAACTCCGGCCTGACAGCATCTCGTCCAGCTCTCTTTTTTCTCGTCAAAGTGAACTCCAACGTTGCCACAATCAGCCACTCCCTCCCGCCTTTTGGATATACGACAATTAAGAGGTGAGAGGAGATGCTGGAATGACATCTTTCTTGGCTTTGCTTCATGGGCCTTGTAAGTGGAATTCTGGGGCAGTTGACCCTCTTCCCCACCTTCCGCCACAAATTGGGCGAAGATTCAGGAGTTCCAGCGTCAGCAACAGGGACCCATAAGGAGGTGCAGGGTTTCCACCCCTTTAAGGACAAGTTTCATGTATATACACATAAAAGTTTGAAGAGGAACTCTTGACCTGTGCACAGTATCAGCGCTGCATACAGAACAAAGTAAAACCATCGTGTAGAAGTCTTGGGCATTTGTAATTTTCAAAATGGCATCCTGACACGACGCGGGTGTAGCAAAGGTGACGGGCATCTAAAATCCATGAAGGGTGATTGAGAGCCACTTCCGGCATTTAGAACTGCTGGTTGTCAATGGACCTAAAGCCCGAGGCACAAAAGCCAGAATCACATAGGACAACTTCACGTGTCAAAAAACTGCGCCATAGGCGCTGCAACCACCGCGTTGTTTCTCATGGCACTTTTCCAATTTTACTGTCAAAGGCTGCGAATGCTCAACTGATCATCAACCACGGGTGACACGCACAATGCATCCACCACAGCTGCCTCCCATCTCGGTGTCAGGAGCTTACCTTGCCTGTGAATAAAATGTTGAACTTTGAAGTGATTGGAGCATTTTCTGGCATCCCGTGGACCGTCAACCATCGGAGACAGCACAAGCGTTAGAGCATGGGCACTTGTTCTTGATTTGACTGAAACATTTGCATGCAAAACATGTGGATGGCCCCAACCGGCAAGCCTGATTCAGGTATCCCTGTGAGGATGCATGAGAGGCTTCCCGCACAGCATGTCCTGCAGAATATCACTTGTAACTTGTAACTGATTGAACTCTCGAAAGTCACGGCTGTTTGCGCTATATAGATGCTTTTATTTGGACCCACTCTCTGCTACTTTGTATATAGCCCTTACAAAAGCGTGGCTGGAATGAATCAGGGTGGCTTCTGAGGTTTTCTAGCGACTAGGAGTGAATCGGACTAAAGCAATGACTGAAACAATCATCCTGCCCATACAAACTAGCATCGCAAAAGTCGAAGCTGGGCATTTGATCAAAGGACATTGACTGCACCGAGCCGCATCTGCCTTGCATGATCAATATCTGAACCAGCATGCATTCTGGGCATGAAAGAAACAGCAACGTATGAAGCCCAAACTACATTGACACGCCAGGATCACACATCCAAGGACGATGGATATTGGAAGCGTAGGAAGCATAGCTGATGCATCAACCTCGAACGTTTCACCGTGTGCACCAGTCAATGTTTTGGGTCCATTATGTCTGTTTGGGCTGCTTCCAACCTAATTAGGTACAAAAGGGTTTCATATGGGAAAGACTTGCTTCATGCCTTCAGCTGATAAGTTGGGTAGGTGTCTTGTACATCGTAAGGGACAAACACATACATCCCAAGTACTCCGTGCATCTACACGCCACTCAAGCTATGTGCAACAATATCATCTGCCTTTCTCAATCAAAGTCGAGAGTTTGGGAGTCCGCTGTTTCGTTCAAGAATTGAACTTGTCTAAAGCAACACCGCAAGGACAACTGCACCCATTTGTTCAGACTGTAGGCACGAGTTGCTTGAAGCAGGCCACAAATGGAATCATAACCTTCAATATGCAGGCCCTTCCACTTGTTCTATGCATGGTTGCGTTCTACAGTGACCTTGTCATTGACATGTGTTACCTTCTATGTGTGACAAAATGAGAAGCTTTTCCAGTCCCTTCTTCTTGCATACCTCTTGGAGTGTCACGCCAAACATGGTATGATTACTGGACAACAGCCAGCTCTATGGAATCCCTAGACTCCGTCCACAAGAATCCTGGCTTGGATTTTGCTGCTTGGAAGTCTCTTTCCTTTCAGTTGTGAAATCCAGGAGAGGGACCTAAAGAAAGCTCTTGTTGGCTTGAAGAAGTGCTGATATGTTGTCTTTCTGAATTGGTAGCCTTCATCTTCACCCGTCTGAGTGTGGCGAGTCAACAACTCAACAAGAGCAATTGCATGGTGACAAAGCATTCTTTTGAGCAGTCGATAAGATCAACTATGATCTTTTGGTGCATCAAGTTAGGGAAACCGAAGACAAGTACTACATGCAAGATTGGTGCATTGAATGGTGTAGTGGTAACTTAGCGGGGTGGGCCTGTTCTGTAGCTGGACGAAGACCAGTGCGCCCCAAAGAAGCGCTTGCTTCGAGCTTTGCTTATCCTTCAACGCGTTCTGCTTTGTGCAGTGTGTCGCTTTCAGCTGGTGCTTGTGTGGCTTTCGCAGCGCGCAACTTCCTTTCTTGTGTGGTATGACATTCACTCTGGCATCTTTTGCTCGCCGTCGCAGTGGATTCAGTATGCACAATGACAATGTGTTGCAACATGCCGTCCTCCTCGACGCTGAAAAACTTCCAAACCCCCCAACCCTGCGCCGCGCCTTTTCGGCTCGCCCACACTAGCCCACACTCGACAAAGTCGGCCGTGAAGCTTTATGCGCAACGAGAACCATGCCCATGTGCTCACTACCCAAGCTTGCCCTCCTTTAAAATGGCTTTGTATTTACTCTTGAACAGCTGTGGATCTGCTCAGAAAACGGTTCCGCCAAACCCAAGGGACTGTGATGTCCTACAAGGCCCTAAAGCATAAGGTTTTTAGGCTTTCAGGCTCTCAAATTCGCTTCGCGCATCAATTGCAGGCATGCCTTGATATCCCATCTTTGATGTCCAACGACAAATTGCAGCTGCCGTTCCATTCTCCCAGGTCCAGTGACAATACATGTACACAACCGCGCTGTCCGCACAGTCATGACTGCGACACGCAAAGTCCCAACACAACGCTTCAAGGCCGCTTGGTCGATCTGTGCATCATCTCACTCGATACAAGGGAGCATGACGACTTAGCATAGAAGGTCCTTCCATCTTCCCAACCTTCGCTTGTCGTTTAGGCCGTTTAAGCAAATGCAAAGTGGATCAAACACTTCTCTGGGACGTGCAAATCCTC